CACAGCTCACAGCAACTTCCAACTCTTGGGCTCAAGCAATTCTCCTGCCTCTGCCTCCCAAGTAGCTGGGACTACAGGCTATAACACCCGGCTATTTTTTTGTTGCAGCCATCGTTATTGTTTGGCGGCCCCAGGCTGGATTTGAACCCACCAGCTCAGGTATATGTGACTGGCGCCTTAGCCACTTGAGCCACAGGCCCCGAGCCATGAAGTGATTCTCTTGCCTCAGCCTCCCAAGTAGCTGGGACTACAGGTGCCCGCCACAACACCTGGCTATTTTTAGAGACGGGGTCTCTCTCTTGCTCAGGCTGGTCTTGAGCTCATGAGCTCAAGTAATCCACGCATCTCAGCCTCCCGCAGTGCGAGGATTATAGGTGTGAGCCATTGCACCCCTCTTCATCTCCTTTGCCTAACATTTTTAGAGCTTTGGGGTGTTCTGCTATGATGAGGCTTGTGCAGGCTCTCCCTGGCATTGCAAGACCACCCCCCCCCACCCCCGCCGAGTGCCCTATAGACAGGTATAGGTACTGGGCAAGAGGCTTTGGAGAAGCCTGGTAGGGATGAGAAGGAACAAAGGAAAAGGAAATTGATGGAAGTTTCTAGGCAGAATAATAACAACATGCTACCTTCTAGCTGCAGCCTCCTGCTGTGCCTCCCCCAAGCATTTTGCAAATGAGATAAAGACTGGCTGCCTGAGGTTCTCCAGGGTCTGAGCCTCCACTTGTAGGGACTGATAGGTGTAGGTGGGTGAACGTTGGTGTCTGTAATTAAAAATAAGGGTACATCACTTCCCCCTGTGAGAAGATGCTATCACCTTGGGTGGGATACAACAGCTGTTTGCTGGTTATACAACAGCCTGGCTGTCCAGTCTGGCATGGACAGATAGGTTGGTAGATTGGGCAGCTCAGGATGAACAAAGAGTATAAGACCCAGGGCCTCTCGTCCCAGTGAGACAGGAGGTAAAGGGCTATGATGGAGTGGGATGCTTGGACAGACCTCTTCCCTTTCTGGGCCTAAAGTATGTGTAGATGAGATGGGACCCAGTCCTTGGCCTACATACATTTTTTTCCTCCCTTTGGAATTTGCAGCCACTTTGCTCTGAGCAAATCTAGCCTCTGGGAAGTCTGGGTGTGGGGTCCAGCCTCAGTCTCCTGCCTGGGCCTGCCTTTTATGTCTGCCATCCCCTCTCCATCCCTAGCTGAAGCTTGAGTACAGGCTGATATTCTGAGTGCAAAACACTAATTAAGATAGTTCAGGTCTTCTCTTCTTACCTCCCTCTTTCTTCTTCCTTAATTCAGAAAGACCTGCCAGGGGAGGCATTGCGGGTCCTGCCCACAGTGCCTCGGGGAAGCCTCTGTCCAGCCAATAGTCTGGCTCTGTTGTGGGACCCCTGAACTGAATGGGCTAAATGCTTGCCCCTTTACCCAAGAGATGAGCTCAGCCCAAGGTAAGGAGTGAACATGTGGTGTATTCTCAAGATAGCTGAGGCAGTGGCACTGTAGCAGTCTCATGTGAGGTGAGTGAGCTGCTTTTTCTTTTGTCTGCCAGCATTCCTGGGTGGGTAAGCTAGTGTTGGTGCAGGGTTGGGTGGTGGTGGGAAAGTACTAGTGGCTGAGGTCTCCTAGAAATTTCTGCATTATGGGTAGTATCTCAAATCCTCCTCTTGGTTTTGCATGTGGAAGGCTGAGGTAGGAGAGAAGGCCTGGAGGCGTGTATGAGGGACTATGAGGACCTTGGAGAAGGGCCTTATGGTCCGGTCCCCTGAGTCTGTGTGAGGGAGGGAGCTGCTCTGGCTTTTGGGCTTATCAGATGGTCAGTGGCTTCAGTAGACAAATCAGGTTGCCCAGTCATGGCAATGCTTCCACACACCTCTGGCTGTGTGGACCGTGGAAAGAGGCATGGCCAGGGCTAGGAGTCCAGCAGTACCAGCCCAGTGTGGCATTGAGTGGCGTCCTTGCCATTGGCAGCCTGCTCTCCAAGGGCTCCTTGAGGCTAGCTGAAGGAGAGGCAGCTGGCCTCGCCTTCCTCCAATGATTTTCCAATATTTACTGAGTCATTGACATACTGCCCAGGCCATAGCAACTGCTGTGCAGTGAGGACCTGAGAGTCAGCCCATGGTCACCTTTTCCTTTCTTAAGAGGCTATACCTGACCAGGAGGGAAAGGGCTTGTTCTCTCTGCCTAATTTCTCAGGGACAGAGTATATGGCTAGTCTTACCATTTCACCATCCATCCCCAGTCCCCAGTAGACTCACTCTCACTCAGTGTGCAGAACTTAGAAAGGGGAGTCTTCTAGGTAGGGTTACTGGGGCAACAATAAGCCCCTTCCTTTCCTGTGGGCCTGGATTGGAAGTTTGCTGCTTTGCTTTCTTCTTACCCCTTCTTTGCTCCTGAGCCTGAATTTTGACAGGATCTAGCATATGTTATGCTGATTTAGGGATGAAGTCAGTGAAATTTTAATTAGCTTCATATCCCCCTCTGGTAGGAAGGATCAAGGGTCCCCAGGTGGCAAGGGGTGAGACCAGGCTGGGTTTGGGTCTAAGGCTGCCCCTCCAGGGATCTGGGGCAGGCTCAGGCAGCTGGCGCTCCCTGTGTGGGATGCTATGGGGAGGTGGGGTGCTGGGCAGGGAAAGAAGTGCTGTGTAGCGAGGCCACAGTTTTCCCTCCATCCTCTGTCTCTCCTGTTCCTCTGTTCTCCCCGATGGCTTTGAGATAAAGGCGACGGCAAGGATGGAGGATATAGTTTCCATGGCAACGGGGCTGTCCACAGCCAGGCAACTTCAGAGCCGGGCTCTCTGGAGGAGGCAGATGTGCAGAGCAGCCTCAGCGCTGCCTCCTGCCTGCCAACAAGGGGGCTGGCAGAGCAGGTGGCACAGGGTGGCTGCCTGGTGTTGCCCAGCCTAGAAGAAAGGCTAGGAAAAGTATTACTTTCTCTTATCATCCCTGTTACTGCCAAATTCCTCCAGAGGGGAAGCTAGGAAGGTGGTCTGAGTGTTGCCAGGGGTTGGAGTAGGGCCCGGATTGTCTCTGGAATTTTTGGGTGGACACGGGCTATAGTTTTGGGAGAATCTCCCAAAGCCAAATGTTTGCTGCTTTTGTGATGGCCGACAGACATTGAGCTGCTGCCCTATGGATTCTTCGAATGCCTAGAGCATGAGGTTGCTGATAAAGATCATGCCCTGACTGGATCCTTTTCTTACCTCTGGCTACCTGGAAATGACATGGACCTTCTTCAAGGAACCTCACTGATCCTGGCCTCAGTGACCTGGCTAGGTTTGCTGAGTGTGGCTCAAATTTGGCAGATGCCTTCCTCCAAGAAGGCAGGGGCCCCAGAACCTAATAGCTCCTGCTTCCTGACATTGTGCTCTTATTTAGTCTTTTCCTGAGGACCAGGGCTGGGGTGGGCATTTGGGTGGGTGGAGAAGTGAAGGCAGCCATCTGTGTTGGAGATGGGAGGAGTTGGAGGTATGGAGAGTACTCAGGTTGGCAAAAAAGAATGGACTCCAACTATTACTTAAAGTAATGACTTTCCTTTATTGACCTTGGAAGCTTCAGGGATAGGGTGTTCCATTCTAGGGTTGAGCACACAGAGACTTAGGGTGCAGGGCTTTGCCTACCTAGATCACTAGTGGAGATACAAGCTGAGCTGCAGCCAGACCTTAGGCAGGCCTTCAACACCCCCACATGGTCCCTAGATATACCCCTCCCTACAGATGGCTGTTGAGTGGTCCGAGCTGGATAAACCTTTTGGGCTTACTTCTCCTCCCTTTATTCTCCATGGGTGCATTTTTTACCCCTATTTACTTGCTTTAGTTGGAGGAGGTTCCACAATCCTAGAGTTGGCCAGGCAGGCGGACAAGTGGAGTCCTAGAGTGGCTTCTTCCTGCCAGGCGTTAAGTCTCTCATTAGTGTTAAGTTGAAGGCTCATTTCAGAGCTTGTGGTGAGAGCCAGGCGGGTGCTATAAATAACTGTGTTGTGAAGGTTGGCGGGTGAGCAGTGACAGGTCAGGGCCTTGCAGTCATCGTAGTGGGTAATTGCGCTCCATCACAGGAAAGGAGAAGCAGGCTCTGTAGTGAGAGGCACTTGACCTCTGTTCTGATTGTCTCTGCCTGCTTCAGGGAAGCTCTTGCATGATCCCTTGCATACATATTGGGGGATGGGGAACATTGGGTTCAGTGTCCAGGTAAAGGGAAGCGGGCTGCCTGTTAGGACTTGGAGCTTGAGATGCTGGTACTTCAAGCATTAGGTAATGTTCAGTGCTAGGCTAATTTTTCCTGCCTGCCCCTCCACCCAAGCGTCAATCTTCTCCTCCTTAGCTGAAATCTTGGGCCTAGGTGTGAAGAGGTGAAGGAACCACATGCGGTGGGCTCAGAGCTTGACACAGACTTAAATTAGAAGAATGAGAATGGAAGAGGGGTTTAGCTGACTTGGAGTCCCTGTCCAGGGTCTGGGGTAACATGTCTACAAAGGCAGGGGCTGAAGGCCTGAGGGTCAGGGGTTTTGGCCTCCTGATATCTGTGGATCAGTCAGCATTTTCCAGGGTGGAGAAGAGGTTAGGGCTGGAGTGTCCTGGGATGAGAAGTCTGATAGGTGAGACATTGGCTTAGGCACATGAGATCCTGTCCTAGGGTGGTCTAGGAGTGCTAAGCTTCATGGCTCTCTGAAACCAGGGCTTTCAGGAGTAGCCTTTTGATCTTAGACATACACACATTATTAGCAGGACCAGGTTTCTGGATTCTTTTCGCACCTGCCCTAGGGTATTGTCTTAAGAACTCCTGAGTCTTCAGACCACTGCCCTTTGGAATGTGGGGCCCTTCTCTTAGGGTCCTGCTCTGAGGTGTGCCTCTCTCAGCAAGGGATTAGAACTTGGAAGAGATTGGGGCAAGAGGCAGAACCAGCCCTGGGAGGGAATAGGCAATAGATAGTTCCTGGGGTTACTTAGGGACAAGTGAATCAGGAGAACTGTAGGGCTCATTATATTTTTGCTACTCTTTGGCTAGGAGCGAAAGCTGTGTGCCCACCCTCGGCTGGAGATCTACCAGCAAGACCAGATCCATTTCATGTGCCCACTGGCACGACAGGGAGACTTCTATGTACCTGAGGTGAACGAAACAGAGAGGAAATTCCGAGGGCTTGCAGAGGCCAATGATGCCCAGATGAATGGCACAGGTACAGAAGGTGGAGGTATGAGGGTGGGGACTTGCCTGGAGCCCCTCTCTTCTGGATATCCAGGGATATAGTTGAGGAGGCTCCTCCCAGTCTGGGCTGGCACCGTGCATGTCAGGTAATGCTTGGCAAAGGGAGAAAGGAGACCTGTCTACCCCAGGACCCACATGCAGAGCTGCCTGTTTCCAGACACATGGATCTACATAGATGTGGATTCACACGTTACCTCCTGGCAACACAGATACAAAGACCCTGCCTGGATTCTCTTCAGATGCCACAGGAGTACCCTTGGAAACAGATCACACACAGCTGGATGCTCATGGGAGGGGGCTGAGGCTGCTCAGGAAAGGAGTCACTTGGGTGGGGCTCGTGAGGAAGTATGATTGGCACTGGATCTGGAAGGTAAGGAAAGGAACTAAATGTTCTCCTGTCCCCCAGTATTCACCCCACCTCCAAGTCAGCTGCTTTCTCCCTGCCAGAGAACAACCAGGGAGCATGCAGAGGGGAGCCAGATCAGTCCCTGGCACCTTCCACCAGAGCCAGCCCACACACCTGCTGGCAGTCTTGATGCCCCAGGTTCAGGCCAACAGTATGTTTCCTGCGCTCAGCCTATCCCTCTATCATGACTTCTTGTGACCCCTGACTGTTGAGAGTTAAGGGGGCCTGCTGGTAATGTCCCAAGTGGTCCCAGGGGCCCTAATTTTTGTCTGTCCTGGTGGAGCCTTCTATGACCCTGGAAGTCCATGACTTCTAGGAGTAGTACAGGGCTATGAGGAATGGAACTATCCCTCTTCTCCCTTCTTCTTTAGCAGAATCTGTGCCCATCCAATTTTTAACAGCCAAGGTCACCCTAGAGAGACTTGTCAGCAGAGGCTGGCAGGAAGGTACTGGGAGGCAATCTCTCTTCCCTAGGGGCCTGTGTCTAATACAGTTAACTTCATCTGCCACTTAATTACCTCCGTGGGGTACTGTTCACTTCTGCCTGGTAGTGCCCAACAATCTTTGGTGTCCCTACTGTGGGCATAGGACATGGCACAAGGTCGGTAGGCCCAGCAGCCTCCAGGGCAGAAAGGGGAGTGCCTTGACCTTTCTGTGACCTTTCTCTGCTGCCTACCTTCCCACTTCTTGGCCCACCCACCCAGGTTCCTTTCCTCTCATACACTGCCTTCCAGGGGTGTTGAAGGGCTGCTTGGCACCCGATACACCTGGCTGCAGCTGCAGCTCCCATAGACCCTAGCTTCTTGGCCTGTCCTCCCTTCAGGCCTGCCCACCTACTCCCTGATGCAGAGGCTGAGGGATCTGCCTACCTCTGACGGGGCCTGTCCTGACACCCAGGGTGGACTCTGGTTATCAGCTGCCAGGTGCATGCCACTTACACAGTAATATGTGGTGGGTGCATGGCTGCCCAAGGTTTGGCCTATCCCTGCCTGTCTCCCTGCTGTGGCCCTGGGTTGGGCTGGGAGGTGAAAGGGGTAATTAGCTGCCTTGCGCCTGTTATTACATTGATGTATTATTTAGCTCCAGAGAGGCGATGAATATTTGATCTCTGCACTGGCTGTGGGCAGAGAGGGAGGGCAAGACTGGAGTGAAGATGGTGGCTTCACTTACCCTTGCCACAGTAGCTCTGGGGATTTAGATGTTGCCACCTTGCCTGGCATCTTTTCCTCAGGGACATAGGCACAGGACTCTGGGACTTTCTCCTTTGTAGACTTTGGTGGGACTATAGGGATGCCACTTTCCTGTGTCTTTGCTTGGAGTAGCCATGTGTCCCCAGGGGCTGTATTCATCCCATCATGCTGAGCCCTGGCCTGAAACAGGCATCCTTTTCCTTTCTCTGATCACTCTTAGCTCAGGAGTTGGTAGGGAGGAGGAGGCTGGCTGGGAAGCAGCCATGTTCCTGTATCTGAAATCTCAAAAGAGCCACTGGGTGGGTGGGCAGGTAGGATGTGACAGTCTAATAGAGCTGGGAGAAACTATCCCTCCTCCTTTGCTCCTTTCATGCTATAGCCTCTGGGGCACTGATTATATAGGACTAAGTTAGGGTCTGGAGTCTTACGTTGAGTTAGAGGGAACCACCCATATTTCAAAGCTCGGTTAAACTTGGGCTTTCCCTCTACCCTCCTCACATGCCTCTACCCTGGGAGCCAAGCCTGGAGTGGAGAAGGGCCTTGGGCCAGCAGCCTAGCATTTCTAGGGCTTACCTCATCTCTGCCAGTAGGAGGCTCAGAAGGCATCTTCTAGGAGCCTGAGGACTGGGGGAACAGGCCTCAAACCCCCAACTCCCAACCTAGGCCCCAGAAGAGGCTCAAGGAAAACTTCAGGTTGGGTCCAAATGCCAGATGGAGACAACAGCTGGAAAAGCTGATTCATCCTTTTATCTTTTGTGATATTCAATACTACCCCTCTTCCACCCTCACAGGAAGGATGGCATATTGTCCTCCCAATCTGGATTTCTGCACATAGGGGGCCCAAGTTGTTTATTCCTCCTTGCCACCCCTAACTGCATACAGTGCATCTGAATCAAGGGGTTGTCCCTGGAAAGGGCTGCTTGCTTAGAGGATGTACTGGGGGTAGAGGAGCAGGTTAGGAGGGATCTGGATCATTAGTCCAGTTCAGCATTGTTAGGGCTCCTCAACCACCAGCAGAGAGCTCTCATGGTCCCCTTTTGGTGCCTTGTGGCTCAGGAAGCACCAGTGTTTGGGGGTGGGGTAGGTAAAGGTTCCTTTGGATTAACTCAGACATGAGGAGATAGCCTTTAAAATGCTTCATTATAGCACACTCCTTCCTTGTAACTGGTTGAGTGTTTCTCAGGACTTTTCCATCCTCATGGGCCAGAGGCCTGGATGCTGCTTATAGGGAGCCCTTCATGGGGAAGGAGACTGGCAAGTGGGCCCTGATCCATTCTTTAGTCCTCACGCCCTATGGGCAATGTTTTATAGGAGGCGCTGGACAAACCTCTTTTCAAGCTTGAGATGGGGCATGGAGGGGACACTACTTGGGTTTCTTTGTTTTACCTCAGCTTCTCTCCTCAGGGCTGAGTGGCTTTAATGGATGTTGCAGGGAGGACAGCAGGCTTTGTGGGAGTGCAGGGAGCTGGGGCTAATTCCGGATAGGGAGAGGCGTGCACAGCTGCCTGCTTTCCCCCTTCCTCCCTCCCTTCTCTTCCCCTCTTCCCCGTCAGCACAGCCCCAGTCAGGGCAGCCCCAGCCAGGCCACAGGGCAACTGGAATGAGCCTCTTGAGCCAGGGTTGGCTATATTATTCATGAGCAGACTGTGTATGCTGAGTTGCTGAGCTGGTGATAGAGCCTCTCCCCTCTCCCTGGAGGAGAGGGGGCAGGGGTAGTCCTGGCTAACCTGTACTCCCTTTATCCTGGCCACAGGAGCTGACACAATGAGTGACACGAGTTCTGTAAGCCTGGAGGTGAGCCCTGGCAGCCGGGAGACTTCAGCCACCACACTATCCCCTGGGGCAAGCAGCCGTGGCTGGGATGATGTTGATGCTCGCAGTGAGCACAGCTACAGCGAGTCAGGCGCCAGTGGTTCATCCTTTGAGGAGCTGGACCTGGAGAGTGAGGGTCCCATGGGGGAAACACAGCTGGACCCTGAACCTGAACCCCTGGGGTCCACCAAGTGGCCCTGGGAGCCTAGTACTCCTGAGAAGAGCAAGGAGTAACCTGCTGCCTGCACCTTCCTGTGATGGAGTTGCTAAGGAACTGAGCAGACTCTCCAGCCCTCTTCCTTCACCTCTTGGGCCTTGGCTAAAGCCAGGGGGTGCCTGAAGTTCTTGATTTCTCTTACCCCAGGCTTCTTGCTAAGCCCTCTTCTTACTGCTCTTTTGGCTTCCAGGCCAAGGAGCCAGGGACTGTTTTCTGCACCAGCCCCCAAGGATGCCATCTCTGTTACATCTTTTTTCGGACTGACACATCAGAGCTTCCAGGACCCAGAATAAAGCAAATGATTTTCTTGTTTCACCTGGATTTCAGCCGTATATTTGTTGGTTTGTTCCACCTTAGTTAGTCCTGTGCTGATAGGCTGAGAGAGGGCAGGAGTCTCCACCCCACCCCCACCCCCCACTCCCCAAAGCACAAGGAGAGGAAGGAATATGGCTAGGTACCCTGGAGTGGGGAGAAGAGGGTGTTTGGAGGTTTTTCACTTCCTGTTCTGTGACCCCAAGGGACACCTGCCCCTCCATTGCAGCTGCTGGAGTACAGGCAAAGCAAGGCAAGGGGTGAGAGAGCTGAGTATGCTAGGCCCTCCAGGGCTCAGGCATGGGGAGCTCACAGCCTGCCTTTGCCTCTGAGGAAGTGATTTTCAACCTGTGGGTCGAGACCCGCAGGAACTGTATTAAAGGGCCGCGGCATTAGGAAGGTTGAGAACCACTTGCCTAGGGTATGCCTTTGTGTCTGTGGTTCCCGTGTGCCTATACTCAACTGGGACCTCCCTAGCAAGTGAAGAAGTCCCTGCTGTGCCTGCCAGTGCCTTTGTAGCTGTGTGTGTATGTGTGCATGTACACATGTGTATTCATTTGACTCTGTAACCATGGTTGGGGCTGCTGGTGGTGGTCCTGGGTGAGGCTGTACCTGAGTGAGCAGCAGGATGTGGTTGTGGCTAGGATAGCTATATTTGTATGGATGGCTGTGTGCCTATGTGCTTGTTTGCTGTGCTTTGTTTATCTAACTGTATTATAGGTGTACCTGTTGTATTATAGGAACAAGGGAGGCCAGCTTGCTGGGAGCATCTCATTAGGGGCTTTGTCCATAGACTGCTCTGTGTGTCTATGTAGAACTGTGTGTGCATGGTCCCTTGTTCATGTGTAAAGGTGTGTGTTTTGCTGTGTGTCCACATACAAAGCTATGGGTCAGTGCAGCTTTGTCCGTAATTACAGTTGTATATGTGGACATGTCCATGTATATAGCTATTTGTGTGTGACCATGTTCATGTGTACAGCCATATGATATGTGGCTATGTCCACACATGTAGCTATGTGTATGGGCATGTTCACAAGTATATCAAGGTGGTGTTCACGTGTACAGCTAGTTATGGCTGTCCATATGCACAGCTGTCTGTGGTGTGTGTATGTGTACTGCTGTCTGTGTTGTCATGTCCACATGTACAACTATGTATACACGTGGGTCTGTGTCCTCGGGATTGTGGCTGCATAGGTGTGTGTATAACTGTATGTCCATGTGCTGCAGTGGGACTGGACAGCTTGCTTGCTACAGGCCATGTAACAGGCTTCTTGGGCTGGTGCTATGTGCAGCCTATCTTTAAATAAAACCTTGTCTTTTGTGAGGCTGATTTGCTTAGCTAGTATGGCTGTGTGACTCTTCTCACTTCAGCACCCTCCCACTGTCAACCCCTCTGCTCCACAGGCTGGGTCCATCGCTCACCTACCCCAGGGAGCAGTTGCTCTGAGCCAGCCAGAGAAGGTGAGAGCAGCCGGTGGCAGAGCTGCAGCTGGAAGACAGCATGTCTGTCTCCCCAGCTTTGTCTGACAGCTTTGAACCCTTATCCTGCTGTCACCTTTCTCCCATAGTGATTAGAGTTTGTGTTTGTTTGGGTTTGATGTGTCTGTTTTATTTCAAAGCTATGTTCTTTCCCAAGCAGTGGGGCACTGGGTTTCTGTGTCCACAGAAGAGCTTGTCCTTTCTGATGCCGCCGCCTCAACTGCCACACACACATGGGGGGCGGGGGTATGTGCCCAAGGGGCCTGGGCCTGGCATGTTCATTAGCCTGTGTTTAGCTGACCTTGTTTCCACTGACACCAGTGGAAGAAGGGTCAGTACCAGGGGAACAGGTATGGGATGCTGTGCCTCTTAGCACTTGTTAGTATATGTATTTGGAGAGGGCAGATAGTATAGGCCTCAAATCCTTCAGCAGAGTCTGGCACTGGTGGTCAGTCAGAAAGTGCAGAGCTGCTCATCCACCATCCCCTACCCAGGGGCATCCTTCCTCACCCTGCTGTGGGAGATAGGAGTTAAGAGCATTTTCTCAAAGCATGTGTCCTCCCCTTGCTTGAGCTCCAGCGCTCACTCCCTCCTACACAGCAGCCAGTTCCAGGAGCCTTTCTTTAGCCCCCTCCCATCTGGATCCCCTTGTCAGCCCCAATGGGTCCCTCAGGGTTGACCCTAGTCCCTGGTTCCCCAACTGCTGCCCTCCACTCGCACAGGTTGATATCTCTTTGTGGTAAACACCCTTTGCACATGGGAATGGGGATTAGTGGGCAGGGGTGGTGGGGTGGTGAGGGTGGTGTAGCAGCTTTAAAGGTCATCTACAAAAAGGAAGGGTAGGCCTCATCTGACCTCTGTCTTCCCCCAATCTTTTCCTTCTGGTGACTCAGGACCAAGCCATCATGTGTGGCTGAAAACACAGGCTCCCACCTCAGGCCTGACATGTGGACCAAGCTAAAGTTGGTGGGTGGAGAGAATGGTCTACACCTGTCTTCCCCTTATCCCCTTACCTATCCTCTGAGACCCTAGGGGCCAGCTCTTCCGCTCTCTTAGATGGGATCCCATAGCACTATGCTTACCTTGGGGGCTCAATGACCTTTGCTCACCTCCCGCCCCTAATTTGCTCTTGGAGACCATAGTCTTGATTATGGGGTGAAGGGGGTAGGCCACGAGGGCACTGCTTCAGGGCAGAGGGAGAGTGCCCAGGGATTCAGCACCACGAAGCGGATAGCTCTGTGCCCGGCGGTCCCGCGAAAAGCGGGAGCGGGGTGGGGGGTGGGGTGCAAGGACTGACTGGTGGCGGGAGGTGAGGCGGAGGCCGAGTTAGGAGCTGGGGACCCGGAGTGGGGAGGACCGGAGGAGGGGCTGGGGGCGGACCGGGCCGGGGGCGGAGCGGGCAGCGATTGAAAGCGGCTGGGCGAGCTGGCGGGCGGAGAGCTCAGAGCCAGCAAGCCAGCGAGCGGAGTCGGAGTCCGGCGTCTTCGCTGCACTCCGATTCTCTCCGCGCCAGAGCCGGGCGCGCCAGGTAGGGTGAGCCCGTGGTGCCGCGGCCACTGCCAACCTTTTCTGCCCTGACCCCATGTCCTGGGGCTCCGCTGGCCCTCGAGTTCAGGGGAGCCTGAGCCGGGGTGTCCAGACAGCGCTCTCTGGGAAGCGGAAAGACAGCCCCAGGCATCCCGCCTTTCTTCCCTAGGGAACGCACGCCCTGCATCGCGCTGCCCCGTTCTTCCTGCTCCAACATTCTCCAGTCCTTCTTTCTTGTCTGTGCCTCTGTCTTTGTCTCAGCCTTTCCAGCTCGCTTGTTCCCTGCCCAGATTTTGTGGCCCAGGCCCCCTCACCCCCATCTCCAGCTGCCGGACTCCAGGTTCTGTCCCTTTCCCTGTGTCTAAGCTTCTTTGCAGGCCTCTGCTGTGGGAGGTTTGCAGTCTTGACTAGTTTTGGCCTCAGCCCCCATCTGGGTCATCTGGGTTCTGTCCCCATCTGTGTTGGTCTTTATTCCTGTTTCTCTCTCCTCTTTGCCTGGTGAAGCTGCTGCTTTCCATGTACCTATATGCCCCTCTGCCCTGGTACCAGTGGGGTATAAGCTCTGGGGAGCTGAGGAGGCAAAGTGCAGAACCCCAATCTCTGTGGCCAGTACATGGGGTACTTCAACTAGTTGCTGCCCTTCTTCAGCCTCAGTTTCCTTTTGTGTTCTGAGGAGAGATGTGTATCCCTCTCTTGGCCTTTCCAAGCCTGCATGACTGTAAGAGCCTGTGCAGGGTGGGTGTTTGAGAAGGCAGCTGGGATACAAATGATAGAATGCAGAGTGGAAGAGGGAGGGAAAGAGTCACTGAGGGTCAGGGCATGGGTGGACCCCTGAAGCTGATGAGGGGAAGACTGGAAATGGTGACTTTATCTGCTGGGTTTGGAGTGCAGAGAAAACGGAGGCACAAAGTCTCAAACAGCATTTTACATAGAGTGAGGGAGTCCAAATCTCTCACCCTTAGCACTGTTTCGAGACTCTGTCCCCCACTGCCGACACACACGTATGCTGACATCTACTTGTCTAGTTGTCTTAGGGCCTGTGGTGGCTACTTAGGTAACTTTCCTGGGGCCAGCCACTCCACCTTGATGTCACTCCCAGGGGTTGGGGTCCCTATTCCTGCCTCAGGCAATCTGGGAATGGCTTTTTAAGAACCAGCAGCTAGGACCCTTGGTGTCACTTGGGTTCCAATCTTCCCAGGAGGTAAAGACTGTTTCTTAGAGACTCTCACCTCTTTCTTCCTTGGTGGGTCCTCAGACAGCAGTGTTCTCCCCACCCCAGAAATGCAAGGCTTGTGCTGGAGACTGGACCTCTATGTTTGTAACTCTGCTATGGCTTCTGTTGCAAAGGTATTGACCTCAGGGTTCTGTGAGGTTTGTGCATGTCTTGGACACCTTTTGGTTTCAGAAGGCTGGGTGTTGACAGGGTCTCCTGTCTTCTCCTGTGTTCTCACTCCTTGCTTCCCTCCCCCACTGCTGAATCTGGTAGGGGCACAAGACCCATATCTAGCCCAGATCAGGGCAGGGCTGATAGGCCCAGGGGTGTCCTAGGAGCTTCTTAGCCTTGTTAGTGATACCACCTGCTATCTGGCTCCTGAGTACTTGGGAAAGGGGTGTCGGAGGACGGGGAGGGAGAGTTAGAAAGGGCAGCTGCTCTCAGGTTCCACTTCTCCCTGTCTGTTTGTCCATCTCTCTATTTCTCTGCAGGAGCTGGGTCCCTTCTCATCTCTCTTCCTGTCTGTCTTTTCCTGGTCCCTGTTTCCTCCTCTCTTTGCCTTTGCTGCTTCTACCCTGATCCCTGGGAGACCCAGGTCTGCTGGACCCATCCATCCCCTTTGGGGCCATGGGATCGCTGCTTGGGCTCCTGGCACTGCTGCTGCTGTGGGGTGCTGTGGCTGAGGGCCCGGCCAAGAAGGTGCTGACCCTGGAGGGGGACCTGGTGCTGGGTGGGCTGTTCCCAGTGCATCAGAAGGGTGGCCCAGCAGAGGATTGTGGTCCTG